TGTAGAAGACGACGTAGCTGCAGCTGGCGCAGCAGAGGAGGGAGGAGACTTGGCGACATCTTTCTTTACCGGCGCCACCGACCCTTTATCTTCGATTTTATTTTGTCGATCTGAGGGTTCCTCGGAGGGCTTAGACTGCTGCAATGATAGTATCTGCACAAAAGATAAAACGAATTGGTCGAAAATAAGAAAATATCCTAGCATAAAAAATGATGAGCCGGAAAGGAACCTCTTTGTGCGCTTCGCCGTCCACGGCTTTATCACCAGACCAAGGTCCGTCGCTTTCTCGAGAATCTCTTGGAGTTCGATCTTTGACAAATCCTGCGCCTCCACCTCGATTCTTTCGCAGAGTGCCTGTTCGACCACTTCGTAATGAAGCGTGTGAACCATGATATTCCTTAAAAGGAGTTTTTCAAAAAAAAAAATGAATAGGGAGCGTTGATGATACCAGAACAGAACAACTGCTCAATACAGCTATCTATGCAACAAACCAAAAAACCCACCTTTCGTTCGGGACGGTCTGTCCGCATTTCCGTCGACGGTTTTCGTTCCGCGGTCTCTGGTTCCGTCTCAGCTGGCTTTCCGCTGGCGGGTGGTGCCGTAGCAGGTTTCTCAGCACCGGAGAAGCTACTACGTCGATCAGTTGTAGCGCCGCCACGGTTGAAACCACGACCACCACGACCGCCCCGACCGCCTCTCCCTCTAAACAATGATCAAAATAGCCATACACGTAAGAAAATGTGAACTATGTATGCATCATCGGTCAATTATCCGTGCAGGCATGTACTTTCAACTGTGTACACGTAATAAAGCCACAAGAATTAACATGATTGATAGACCGTGCACAATACGTAGGATAGTTGTTCAGATATTATGTCTATACAACAACTTCAGAAATAAAAGTAATGCAAGCAGGATCGATTAATTTCCACTTCCGTAAGTGTACTGAGGTTACTGAAAATAGGATATGCGAAATTCTCAAGTGTGGAAGAGTACCTCTGAGGACCAGCTGCGTCTCGTATTTCCCCGAATCGTCGCACTCTTCTGAAGAGGCACGAACTTACTGTTATTGCTATTGTACACCACGCGTTGCTGGAAAGTAGAGAAGTTTATTTATTGTCCCTGCTTTATATGAGGAAATAATATAAATCACATGTGATGATTTCGTCAGATGGGCCATCTCTTACGCTTAAAAAGAAGATCTACAAATTTTCGCTCATCGCAGCACAAAGTTGACAACCATTTGTTCCAAAAAGTTATGTTTAATAACACTTCACTACTTCGAACATATTTAGTATTCAGGTTTATTCGAAAAAAGCAAGGAAATGTAGCGAAACGACTTCGGTGCTCCGGTTCGGTAACACATTCGACCTTTATCGAAGAATTGGTTTCGACTTCACTAACGCGCAAAATTTTTTAATAAAAGTTCAAATATGCACAAAATAAAGCGATTTCATACTGAGAGACCCCCCTGTTGTTACTCCTTTACCCTCCTTTCATGAGCACATCGAAAATTCGTGAAACTAATGTTCTTTTCCTCAGAAGTAAAGGAAACTCGCGGCATGCCCAACGTACGCAAAATCCTGTTTGTTGTGAAAGCAAGTTATTTCCCGAAAGAAAAAAAAACTATCTCTTGGACAGCTTTGATGAATGCAAAGCAGTATATCCTTAGCTTAGCTGGAAATAAAATTCAAAATAAGATAACCATAAGCACGAGTGTATAGTGAATAAGGAAAACATTAATGAAAGGAAGGATTGAAGGAGATAGAAAGAAACCTTTGCTGCGGGCCTTGGCAAAGTCTCCGAGCCACTAATATTCGCATCATTTCCGCGACGACGATCTGACCCCGAATCACGTCTTCCTGATGGAACCGCAGCCTCTCCTGACGCAGCATTGGGATGGTTCTTAAAAATATTAAATTCACATATGCATATTGCATAGTAAAGCATAGTAAAGAACTGCTAACACTAGTGCATTTAAACAACCCAATAATGGACCAAACAAGGCAGTGGAGTGATTTCGTTTCATTTCACTTCCCACATACGGCTGAGCCTATTATTTTGTACATATGACTACTAGAGACTGAGGCGGCGTAGGGCTCAAAAGTATTCGGAGGGCGTGCTTCTTTCACTTGGCCATTTCGCTTCGAATTTTGACACGTTGACTTTTTTAAACATTCGAATCTACGAACCGAATTAAGATAAAAGTTAGAAGACCACGCCTTGATGAATGATGTTCGAGCTTTTCAAAAGTGGAACTGCTTCAGAGAACACTTTTACCACTGCTGAAAGCATGACACACTATTCCCTCTGAATGATGGCACGACAGCCCCATGCGTTTGGAAATCAGTAAAATTTCCTGATCTCCAAAATGTACAAGGTTTATGCGGATTACAAACACGCTGACACACGTTGAGGGGGGGGGGAGAGGTGTAAGACAAAAAGTCCGTCCTCTCCTAATTGAGAACGGAACTAATTGCACTTTTTAAAATCCAAACCGAATGAATCCCATAAATGAAAGAGCACATCCTAATCTACCGAAAAACTTCATAACAGCCTTCTATCCAATAGCTTTAGAAGATTTAGATTCTCCTT